AAGAGACACACGTCTGAGCCAGTAAAGCCACATGCAGTCCTGGCAGACCTGGCCACCACCACTGCCCTGTGCCCAGAAGGCTGTCCCAGGCACATGTGGCTTGTTCTGCAGGACAGCTCGCTTCCCTGGGGCAAAGTATGAAGGGAGGTCCTTAACGGGACCCTCTGGGGAAAGCCATGAAGAAGATACAATAATCTTCACTTCCAACTTCTCATTTACCTCCCAAGATGAACCTTCCCCACTTGGTATAACTAACTGAAAACAGGATGCCTGACAGAAGAGCAGAACTATTCATGCCCCAGGCTTGATCTAATCTAGACTGTAACAGGGACCTACTGGGATTTCTGAAGGTCCTTCTGTTAAGCCTAAGTTATCTCTGAGAGCATTTTTGAGATACCAGGGAGGAAAGGAGAGAAAAAGAGTGGAAAGGAGGAGAAAAGGAGATATTGAGAGAGAGGGGAGGGCTCCAGAAATCTGTGTGACTTGACTATCTCATAGAATGCCACTAGCCCAGTCCTGGACAACTGGGCTAAGCCCCACTCGCTTCTGGAGAAAGCAGAGCTCTGGTTCACCATAAATGACATTTTGCAGCATTAAAAGCCAGGTGAGTGACTTTGGCACTGCTATGGCCTCTCTCTCAACACATGGCAGTGTAGAGGTCACCATAGCCGCTTTCCTCCCTCCTCCTGGCTCTGGGATCCACCTGCCTGCCCCATCAGTGGGGCACCCCCAGAGCCTCCAGGCCTGCCTTCTCTCCTCAGCACCAGATGGACCTATTGGAAGCTTCCATCCAGCTCAGACTGGGTGCTCCTTCAAATGACCTTGTAAAGCTCTGGAGGCCTCGGTCCATTATAAGCCCCCCCCCCCCACTGTGGGCACACCCACACTCAGCCCTGTGGGACATCTATGGTCCCCTGGCATCTCAGAATCTGCACGGGCTGGGTTGAGCCCAGCCCCCTCACTGTCCTGCATAACCAGGTCCTCTCTGTATGTGTCTATTTTTGCCGTGGGACCCCTGTCTCTTCATCTCCTCCACTCAATGCCCTCGGCTTTCCCTTCATTCAGACCTTGCCTGGATCACTGCAACAGTCTCTATCTGTCTCCCTGACTCTAGTCCTTGCCCCCAACCTGCCCTCCATGCTGCCAAGGGCAAATCTGACCAAGCTGTCCACCCACCTGCTCTTTGTACAGAAGCAGCTTCTGTACAAAGAAGCTACTCCCCTTGACACCCAAAGGCCTCCAAGCCTTGCTCATTTCCCCCACACTCAGTCTCTCACTACAGCACACCTCAGATCAGGCACGCCAGAATCTCCACAAGTTGGGATATCCTGTTCACAA